ACTCTGGATCCAAGAGACTTTTCTTCCAGCTCGCCATAATTATGCCTTTCTCACAAGTAACTAATAAGGTGGAAAATACCAGCACCGAAACAATAATGCAGGCATGTTCCGTTCACGAGATGAAGAGGTCCTCTCTAAAGGGGGATTTTCATCGGCACGAGTTACAGAGTACTTTTTCCCGTTTTCATAAAGAGGCGGTCCCACGTTCGTTAGCACGCAAGTATCGCCTCAAAATATTCAGTGGCGAGGCAATATCCAGAGCAATCTGGGTGGAAATTGAAATCGTTCCGAAACTTTTGCGAGCCGCGTTATGGAAATAAGTTGCTAAAGTGCGGCTTCGCCCGTCAAAATGTAAAAAGTTGACTTCTGAAAACACGACCCGGCCCCTCGCCGCGAACAACCCCCGCGTGATGCCGAGAAAAGAGGGGATGCTTGACTCTCGGATCTACGCAGGGAAAAAGAAAAGAAAGAGAAATTTCCCCTAATCAAAAAAAGTAAAAGAAAACTCGCTCTTCCCTCAAATTTTTTGAAGTTTATCCCTGTGCTGAAGTTTTCACTTAAATAGATGCTCTGTCTAAGTGATATTTGGAAAACCGAAGGATGAACCCCTGACAGCTAGAAGGTGCAACCGTTACAGACGCTTCGCGCCCTAATTTGGTCTCAATGGCGGTAAAAAAAACATGTTCTCACTAACGATAAGAACTGTCGGAGCCAGAACCTATATCTAGAGTTTGTCATCTGCTGGTGGCCGAAAAATGAAAACTGGGAAATAAAAGTAGTTTGTAATGAGGAGGCTCTTTCCCAGTAAGGTTACACGAACGATTAAATTGAATTTATTCTTCGAAAAAGCCATTGTATTCAAACTGCACACAAATTGCAAAATATGTTCCATATAATGTATAGTAATACGGTGTACATGATCATTTTCTTTTAAAGCCAACATTTTTTTTAAAGCAAACTGCAAACTATTGATGCTATTCCAGTTTTTATTTACAGATGAAGATGCAAAATTTTTGTATAATCAAAGTGGTTTCTTGCTCTTGAATTTCATCCAATTTATCCCAAGGAAAAGATAGAAAGAAGGAAAAGAACAGGCACTCGTGGTTTTTCTTCCTTTTTTTTAAACAGACTTCTCAATCCTCATTTCCTTCCGTTTTCACTCGGAGCGTCCACCGTTTATCCAGGAAAAGAGTGCGGCTGAAACGAACACAGATTCTCTTTTTCCCAGCCGGGGAGCGTAAGCGTGAGAGAAAGTGCAACACACCGGCTCCTGGCGGAGCGACGAAAAGAACGTAACGCGGTTTCCTCGCATTTTGCGAATAATAAACTCGGTGCTCATGAAGCATGCGTAATGCAATTTCAGCGCTGCCGCATACCTCAAACAGACGTCGCGTCGGTGGGGTAATTCGCCTCGGATTCCCTCTTTTTCGCTCCGTGCCCCCGCTCCCCACTCGTCAACCGTGATAAGCAAATATACTCCGCGCGGGTCCGAGCCGCGTTACGTAGAACAATTTCGCGTTTCCTTTATTGTCTCGCAACTATTTGAAAGTTGCATTGTGAACTTTCAAAGCGAAGGCACTCTCAAGTTTCATCCATTTCAGTTGTTGCTCACGCGGTACCGCCAAATCTCCTCGGTATTTTAGAGTCACTGGACGAAAAGTGTCTTGGATCCCAGCAATGTAAAAAAAGTCGCTTGAATCTAGAGTCCAGACTCTTAGAAACATTGACAAGAAGAAATACTCTTGATTCAATCGGATTTTTGCTCGGATGGAGAACCAAGCCTCTTAATTTAAGCGGATTTCCTTTTGATTCAAGCTAGAGATGGCGATTGAAGCTTTAAAAACGTTTAGTTTTCGTAGAGAAAAGAAAGAGGGCGAAAATTTTAAAGTGACCAATTTCATTAGCTTCGAATATTGGCTGCAGGAGTTTAAATAAAAAGAGTCGGATTGAAAACGTTTTCAGTCAGGCTACGTCTTGAGGACGTAGCCTCAGAAGGATCGAACACTTTCTAAATAGCTATGGAGCTTAATGAAGCTCTCAGTAATTTTTGCGGGTGTTTCTCGTTTTTGCTCCTCCTTGATGGTCTTAAGCTCGCAAATTTCTCATGCATCTCCATTTGAAATATGTTAACAGTCCCAAACTACCACATTTTTCTATTTCCAAAACTGTCGAAGGGAGATGTGTCTCCATTGTTTAATTCCTTCATTTTGTCGAAAAGACTGGAGCGCTATGAAATTTGGCAATCTTTCAAAGACTTAAAGTTTCGCGGTAGTATTGTCACGGGCTGCGTCGTAAAAAGACTAGGTCAGAGCAGGCGAGCGACAAGGAACAGGGCTCCTTGGAAAGTTGCTCTCTCTCAGTTTTTATTCAATTAATTAAAATGTCTTGTTAATCTAAACTAATAAGTGTGTAAGAAAGGAGACGGAAAATTATTACTTCTTTTATTCGCTCCGCTTCAATAAAGGGAGGAAGTGGAGGGACCCGGGGAATAGAGGGGAAAGGGAAATGAATAAATAATACTTTAAAAAATTAAGACTTAGCAGTTGGTCTTGAAACTCATTAAAACTTTTAAATGTCTTTACTTAAAACACATGCAAATTAAGACAAATCGTGTATCCTGCTCCCTTTAATACATTTTTCTACTCAATTAAAAAGTTTCGCTTTACTTTTCAAGAAAGAGGGCTGCTCTAGTTCCTTTATTCGACGCTCAGCTTCGATCAGATCCGGAAGTGAAAGTAGATCAGCCCTGAGGAGAGGAAATTATTAAAAAGGTGAAACGGTTAAATTGGCCGTCAAGTAATTTTTTTAGTGACCTTTCATCCATATACTTCTACTCTTATGTTCATAAAAACTTTTTTTTGTTCATTTTTCCCCCTCAGTAAGCGCTTCGATAGGAGATCGTTTCTGCTGCAGTACATAAAATGCACACTAACTGTGCTTGGATTAGGTTCTCAATGCCCGATTGACTCATTAATTTCGGTTCTATTGAATATAAACATTTTCTCTGAAGCTCTAATTTATGGGGTTTTCAGGGTTAAAGAGCCAGACAGTAGGAGCATGTTTCATGAATCCAAATGGGACTTAAGTAAGATCCGGGTTAAGGAATTAGGACCACGGCCACTGAGCCCAAAATGACCACCGCTATAGCTCCCAGCGGGCTGATTATTAAACTTAATAGACAAGGCGATGGACAAAGAGGACAGGAAGAAAGTGGAGCGAGCGTATTGGCTGAAAGCGGGTGGTTACAATGGATAAAGTAAGGCGGTATACGAAAACGGCAACCTCCGGGAGACCCCATAGCCAGTCAATCATGTTCTCCCTTAGTCTAAGAAACCACCCGTTTTAACTAATAGGATCGCTCTACTTTTCCTTTCTATTCTTTGTCTATTGGTTTGTCTATCAACTCTAAAAAATAGCCTACGAATTTGGATTAAGCGACACCCAAACCCAAAATGGACAGTTTGTCTTTGATCTGCAATCACGACTCGCAAATCCAAAACTATTTTTCATTACCAGTCTCCTGTAGTATTTCAATGTTTATTCCATCTAGTGGTCTATTAGACTTAAAATACAAACATTTACAGTTGAAACTTTAATTATTCTACTTTCCACCAGGATTTGACGTAAAAAACTAGCCCGTAACATTTTCCATCGCATCGCCCTCCGGTCAAAAAATAAGTACCATCAGAACATGGTGAGGCACGACCAGTGACCACTTCAGCCTCCATTTTCCACCCTGTCTCCCACCCCACAACCATAACATGGACCGGTGTTCCATTACAACCAAGCAAACACGCTCGCCGTTTAAATAGGTTTCGAGTGCTTTAAAACCGAGGCACATCCCCCCCGTTCCCCCTCCCCCACCTCTCCATCCCCTCGCCCCCGGAGCCGAAATAATTTCAAATTCATGACGACATCGACACGGGGCAAATAACGCGGGGTTAGCGGCGCATAATTTATCGCCACTTCCAGGCGGATAATGCAGTGTTTATCAATACTGACAGCGGTCTTTGAATTGAAATTAATGAGCCAACTTCGCCGGCGCATTACCTGGCGGCCGCGACGGGTTAATGGGTAAATGGAGCCGGCGCCTCGCGGCATAGGCAGCCAAGTTCGCGTCATACTTTTAATTGACACCTTGTCCAAACTATTCGCGCGTCGACAGTGTCGGAGTTCGGCGAATTCGCGAGTCGACAACGTTGTTTTTCCTCCATTTGAATCAATTAAAAGTATCGATTTGAGGCGAGACAAGCTGACAGCTGCCTCAATAATAATCGATTGTTTAATATACAATAAATAGAGGAAAACAGTGTTGCCAAGTTGCAAAATTGCCACTACTCGAACCAGAAACAGTCCAACTGCAGTTTATGCCGCCTAGTTTCCTCTGGTTTTTGTAAGGATGCTGAAACAACGCACCGCTCTGTAACTTTCCGCAAATTTTCTTTAATACGTAGGAAAAATATTCTCACAGAATCTCTAGTCAGGATTCTCCCCAGTTTTTTGTGCGAAAAATGAAACATGTAAAGAAATATGGCAATGTCAGATGCAATTGGGTACATTTTGGTTTCTTTTACTACCTTCCTTTACCCAAGTAGCACAGGGCAACGAAAATATTGAAATTAAATTGCATTTCTTTCTAAATAAAATCGTATTTTTTACCATTAAATTGCATATTTTTATACATCAGTTAGTCGATTTATGCCAATTTTAAACAATCAACAAAATGAGCTCCTTGTGTCAGAAAGATAGGAAATATGCAATGTAATAAATAATTGCAACGTATGTCAATTTAATTGCAATAAGTTTCGATCGGGCCCCTTCAAATAGGAGCTAGGCAAAATACACAACACCCAGTGAAATTGCAATACTTTCGCAGTGTAATTGCTCCTTATTGCAGTCTGTGCTACTTGGGTGTAAGATATCTACTACATTCCGAGTGACGATGACCAGAACTTACATGTGTTTTGATTTCTAACGACTCTGGTTTGGGTGTGTTTCAGAATCCGTCAAGAGAAGAACGGCGGGGCGTGGTGTCCGAAAGCGCAGATCAGCAGCGACGTGCGAGAGTACCTGGAGGTGGACCTGAACCGGAACCACCTGATCACCAAGACGGAAACTCAGGGGAGGTTCGGCAATGGACAGGGCCAGGAGTACGCCGAGTCCTACTCGATCGAGTACTGGCGGGACGCCCTCAAACAGTGGGTCGTCTACAAGAATACTCGCCGGGAAAAGGTAAACCTCACATTTGTCTATCTAAAGTAACAAACATATTATAGACAAAGACAAGAGACCCTCACGGAGAAAAAAACCTCGTGCGTGGGACTCGAAGTTTAGGTCATATGGATCTCTGAAGTTTTCGGATTGAGCATCTGAACACTTTAGGTCTATAGCTGTCGAGGTTCGGATCACACATCTGAAACTCCAGTTCTTACATCTGAAGTACTTCAGATGTGAGGACCGAAGTTTTTCGGATGTGAGAACCGAAGTTGTTCGGATGTGAAGACCGAAGTACTTCAGATGTAAGAACTGAAGTTTCAGATGTGTGATCCAAACCTAAGCAGCTGGACCTAAAGTCTTCAGATGCTCAATCCAAAAACTTCAGAGATCCATACGACCTAAACTTCGGGTCCCACGCACGAAGTTTTTTTCTCCGTGCTCCACTGACCTGGCGACAGGAGAACTCGGCTGTTTGATTTCTGCGGGTCGGCTTTTGAATCGCCATCGAATGATCGAATGATCATCTTAGCAATTTTCATTTTAATTTTTCTGATATTTTCCAGTTTTTGTCTTTAGATGTCTAAGTATAAATAGCCGAAGGATCAATTATTGCAATTTTGAGTGTCCTTTGCAAGGAATGGTTATCTAATAGTTTCTCCCAGTTTAAGAAAAATTTTATTAGACCTCAATGTATATTATTCTGCTCTTATGGCGCAAAATTGAGTTGTTATCGCAAGAAAATTGGCAAAACTAAGAATGTTATTTGGGGGGCACATAAAAGCCCCTCATCAAGGAGGACGTAAAGAGCGCAGAAAAGCATGACACCAAGAAGGGTCTAAGGGCAGGGCATCCCCCGACGGGCAAGCGGGGCAGCCGGGTGGTCATGGAGACCTTCTCGGAAAAATTGCAAAAATGTCTGCCTTTTCAAACCTCTCCTTATTATTTTGGAGCTTTTCTCGCCGACGAATGCGGAAAAAGCAAATTTTATACATGACAATCACTCCGACGGGAAAAGCATATATCGCTGCATTCTTTCAGGGATATTGACCTCGGTTTTAATATCCACGCGGATTCATTTTCAGTTCTTCAATGAATTATTTTTGCACCATTCCCTCTTTATGTCTTTCACATCAACCCCCCCCCCTCCCTCACACCCACTCACGCTACATGAAAAAATAAAATCCATTGCTCGGGAGCTGAAGTAAATAAATAAAAATACCTAGTCCCAATGATCGCGACGCGTACTCATGCATTATTGCCATATTCTTCAAATATATCAATAATTTTTCTGAACCGAAGAGAGACACCGCTAATACGATTGAATCTGCCGCGGAATGATGTATTCAGTGATTTTCTCCAACCAAAGAGGTGATTTTAAATGAGATTCGTTTCTAGGGTTATTTTGCCCAAAAATTGGCCTTTAGAGCACAATTATTAGCTCCGCAATCCGCAATTTTTAGACATTAATGAGATTAACGAGCGGTATTTTAGTGTGTGTGTTTTTTTTTTTATCACTACTTAGTAATATCAACCAAGTAGGCAAACTAAAAAAATAGAAAAAATAAGGAAAATCATCAATAAAACCGCCTTTTTAAAAATCACTGTTCCTTCGTGAAAACAAACCTTTCAAAATTCCGATTTTAAGGTCTTTGAAAATCTTCGTTTTAAATCACGAGTAATTACGACAAAACTTGGCAACGTCAACTGCGCGACAGCGAATTTCCAATGAATATCAAAGCGGCCCATCGAGCGGTGTAATGAAATAGAGCCGGCAAAAAAGTTTATAATTTCGTTTTGCAGTTGGACGTGGACTCGGGGCCCCGCTGATCGATTGCAAATGTTGACTTTTCGCTTTTATTTTATTTGTTGGGCGTTTTTCCGGTCGGCGTTTTAAGCACCGACAAACTCGCCTCCTCCCGTGTCACCATCCCTCTGCAGTCGATAATTGGACGCATTCCCGCCAAACGGAACTATGTGCATTATGACGTGAGCCCTGTTATGCACGTATTCTTATGGGTCTCAGGGCTCATGTCTTAATGCACATAGTTCCGTTTTATAGAAATACGTTAAATTGGTCTTTTACCGTTTTTCGCCCAAAACGGGACAAGCAGATCGTCGCCCTTTTGACGTAAGCGCCTATCTCGATTTTTGGATGAGCCCCTGAAAGCATAGATTTATGTATGAAATAGAGCTCATGGGGAAATCGAGACACAAACTTACGCCAGAGGGGTGACGAAATGCGCCCCATTATCGGGAAGTCGGGACGCGTCGATGGCTGTCAGGCCCATGGACGGAGGCTGTTTCCGCTTTATGATAGAGAGCAAGCGACAAATTAGACTGGCAAGTTGTTTTTTTATCTTTTTTGACGTGGTGATCATGTCTGACTTGTCGGTGCTTTTTTATGTTAGTTATTTTCGCGGAATAAATTAATGACTGACTATCGCTGGAGTAAAGTATGGTCCAGAGAGTAGAGTGAGTTGGTCAACTGGACGTATTTATGCGAACTCTGCGCAAGTGGAAAGATGGGGTATGCTCGTGAAAGCTGCATAAGGAACAATGTGGTCAGTGGATATAGTTCCTTTTGAGAAAATGGATAAGCGGTATTTGACATTAAATCAAAAGGAACTGAGCGCTAATTCGTATGCCGCGGCATGTGACAAGAGCCTTGTGGACAGGGCTCATGCGCTAAAGAGCCCCTCCCCGTCGCGGCTCCTCGTAGTTGCCGCTGACGTCACTGGCGCTTTAAAATCCCCATTCATTCCTATGACCCTCAACTAACGAGCACACCCCTGCACCATCCGTTAGAAGTCAAAGGAAAACCCTCTAAGATGTTCTCCCTGCAGGATCGCACCCTTGCATTTACCTTCGAATTACATTTGTTTCAAGGGAAGCATCTTCATGCTTAACACCCTTGAGTATTCAAAGGAATAAGGAAATATTTCAGTCATAATCCTTGAAAGTCAGATAAGAGATAGTATATCTTTATCACCCTCAAAAATATTGACTCAAGGAGATTCAGGTTTGTTTGGTCAATATTATTAGAATGTCTGTGAACCAAAAATGACTTACATTCTAAGAAGATGTTGACTGAAATTACTGACTCTTACGTCTGTCCTAATCTTCTCCTACTATTTTTTATTTTTCAGAATCTACCCGGGAACACAAACACGTATCTGGCGTGGAAACAAGATCTAGATCTTCCTTTCGTCGCAAGCAAAGTGCGGTTTCTACCCTACAGCGAACATCCCAGGACGGTCTGCATGAGGGTGGAAATCTACGGATGCCCTTGGCAACGTAAGTTTGCATTTTGATATAACAACTATCGCAAAGTTTGTCCTAAAAGTACTGCCCTTTTTTCCACATGGCGAAAAAAAAACAGCTCGAACTTATTCTTATAACCTTTTTTTCCCCTCCTACAAAATGCTGGAAATCCTGGCGGGGTGTATTTGACACTTCATTTTTAAAATGCTATATCTCAGTCAAATTCAAAGTTACAGAACTCATGTTGGTCTTGTTTTATAGGCAACTAGCAACCAACCCGTGCTTCGCACGGTGATAAACCGTCATTAATGAAATTACACCATGTTATAACAATAACTTTTGTATTAATATATTTTACTATACCTATTATGCCCATATTTATATTTTTTAATATAATTATTCAGAAGCTACAAAATATTTTTACATATGGGGGCTGTTGTTGTACCCATCAGCAAAAACAAAAAACATGTTTGCGAGTATCAATTTTGTAAATATGGTAGTAATTTATAGACCCAGCAGTCTTGAAATTAAAACATAAATAGCTGCTGTAAGAAGATGTATTTATTATTTTTTGATAATTTTATCGCAAATGATTCTCCGAAAAATAATTTCGGACTTTTAAATGTGAAGTGCCAGTATTGTGATGGCTTGCATTTCAAAAAAGAGGAGGTGAACGGTCATTTTAACAGATGTTGTCATAATGGTCTTCTCAGACTTGCCGAGCCTGGAATCAAAGACCAACTTCGAGACCTCTTCTCCAAACCCATTTTCATGACCAACATTTTGAGGTACATCAGTTGGATGGCTTCTGCATCTCTGTCTGCTTCCAAAGCCCATATAATTTTGAACCAAATCTTCTGCTATCGAATACGAAAAATCACGGAAAATTTAAGTTTCATGTTGACCAGCTTCTCGAAAGAGAAATAAAATTTCAAAGGAAGTCTGCAACGTCGCAAATGGAGAAACGTCGTCTCTCATTTTGTCTCGTATGTAACGATAAACAATGGGACGCGTTTGCTACGGCGCCTTGATACAACTACACAACCTCGACGGATGTCCGTATTGCGTTCAAAAAATTGAAGGCGTTTTGACCCCCTACTCATACTACCTGTAGTTGATTCGATCGACAAACGCGTTGGTCGGCGGTGACGGGGACTTGATGCATTTTTTTCTACTTGATGGATTTCCGTATCGCACCGACTGAAGTGCGAAACCACGTATCTCCATTGCGGTGTTTCAAAATTTCCGTCCTTAATTCATCTCTTCCATGAGAAGCAATCCATGTTTACGACTTCAAATTTTGAACCAAATCTTCTGCTAATAAATTAAGAGCAAATGACAATGTGGGAGACCACGCTTTAGCAATTCAATTACATAAACATGTGCAACAACTCTACCCAGAACATTTTCTTTTAATATATCTCTTAGTAATTGATCCAATTTGCAATGAAAAACTCGTGAAACTAAATCTGGACGATCTGCAGCAGTTTCTTTTGGCGCTAAAGCAACGGATATTTCCGACCATTTCGGGTTACACGTCATTGTCAAAAAAATGTCTTGTCTGCCATACACGCGGACAATTGCCATGGCATCTTGATATCTTTGAATAAGATTACGGGGGCTGCCTTCAAAAGAAGATGGTAAAACTACAATTCTTCCAACATTCATATTATTGAGTCGTGCTTTATCCAGAACAAAATCTTGCAACCCAGCATACTGTTCAACTCTGAGTTCGGACTGATGCTCTCTAATATAATGAAGCCTCTCACCTTCGACACGAACATATAAATCTACAATATATTGTTGAAATAATTTCTTTGATTGGTGAATATGGGAAAATGCTGTTCTAATGGCAAGCCTGTAACACGCGAATTGTAGCATGGTTACATGTTTGTGATTTGGCTGCTTGCGTGGTCCATTATGCTCCATTTTAGGATCCCAGTCTGGTTCGCCATGAGGATATAGAGCAAAGGATAAATCATTGGATCACAATGAGGACTTAATACAGATATTTGGTTGGCAGAAGATTTTGTTCAAAATTATATGAGCTTTGGAAGCAGACAGAGATGCAAAAGCCATACAACTGTTGTACCTCAAAATGTTGGTCATGAAGATGGGTTTGGAGAACAGGTCGCAAAGTTGGTCATTGATTCCAGGCTCGGCAAGTCTGAGAAGACCATTATGACAACATCTGTTAAAATGGCCGTTCACCTCCTCTTTTTTGAAATGCAAGGCATCACAATACTGGCACTTCACATTTAAAAGTCCGAAATTATTTTCCGGATAATCATTTTCGATAAAATTATCAGTGCTCTGCCGAAATGGATTGAGGTTATTTCCCTGTTCACCCCTACGTCGTACATTATCCATCTCACTGAGATAGCCGTCATGTCGCACTTTGCGTCGCGAGGATAAATTGCGAGAAACATTGCCACGCTTCGCCGGACGCCCACGTTTTCGACTCCGATCCATTCCCAATATTAAAACGAATACGCACACTTTACTAAAAATTCGGGATTCTTCATACACGACAAATATTAACAAAATTCAAAAGACGACGCGCACTGTGCGAAAAAATCGGAATTCTTTATAAACGACGAATATCCATGACGACGAACGCCTCGGGCAGCCGAGTCATCAGCTGACCGAGAACGAACAGCACGGGGAAAACGAAAAACCGCGCATCTCCCAGCGGGACGAACGGGATAAGCGAGCTTTCGGAGGGCGCGAGAGGCGCGGGGCCCGACGCGCGATCCCCGCATTTTTCCCGACCCCCCGGGACCGGGACGGTCCCGCCGGCACCGGGACGGTCCCGCCGGCACCTCCGACGCCCGTATGGGCACGACGGTCGCGGCGCAATTTCGAAACAGAAATCGGGCTTACGGAATTATATATTAGGAGGATTACAGATTTCGTGATTGCGGCAACACTGCTCCGGTTCGGAATCTCCAAAATTAGACAGAAAAAACAGCTGATCGAGAAGCAATAAAAGAAGGGAAACCACGACGACCAAACGACGACGATCCATCGCGGAACACCGCTCTAACACACGGGTCACCCTTTTTTAGCGTGTTTTCAACCCTTAGAATCAAAATTTCGAAAATCGGACGACGAATTGCACCCCTTCAGCACGAACCGCACATGCGTACAAAGTTTCAAGGAAATCCACCTTCGGGAAGTCGCTGAAACATTGGGTACAAAATTGGGGCCTCTCCTTTATAGTTTTAGATTAGATTACAAGGAATCTAGCCTTGCACAAATCGCATTATGATATCTGCTTTCTTTCACCCTGTGGGAAAAAGGGGGCAGTACTTTTGGGACGAACCAATTTTTTATAATCCTTTTCATATCCTTGATTCTATCAATTCAAATGAGAATAATCCATGCAGTGTGTCAAACATTTCAAAATCATTAGTTGAAAAACGCTGACTCCGCGAGTTGAAATGTTAGAGTCTAACACAGAGCGGAGCGGCCAGCGCGATACGCGCACTGGCGCCTACAAACCTAAGGGGATACTTCACGCATTGCGCAATGCTTGAAGTATCTTTTTAGGTTTGTAGGCGCCAATGCGCGTTCCGTGCTGGCTGGCTGGCCGCGCCGCAGCGTGGCACGTGCCACGGTGCTTCCTATTTCACAACAGAGGTATTGCACAGTATCATACGTAATTGAAGGTGCTCCAACATATTAAGAATGCCAGGTATCCTGTAAGAGTACGGACCTTTCCGCGCAAAATAAATCAAGACATTACGACACAAAAAGAGAGCGATAGTCCAAAAACTCGTCTTAGCATCCGCATTTAATGACGTAAACAAGCGAGAAAGTTCTAATATGTAGGTATTAGAGAAACGCTCAGCTGTTAGGTTCAAGGAGGGAAAAGTACGATACACATGCACATAAAGCTCAAGGACAGGATTAAAAGTCAAAAGACACTGCTCAAAAACTGCATTTCTATGGTAACAGTAACGCAACAGCTGTGTCATATAGAGGCGAATTTTGGCAGTTTCAGAAAAAGTCATTACCGGTGACAAAAAGTTCGGATGAAAAGAACTCAATACCTGAACTTTTAGACATAATAATAAAATAATTATAAACGTCCCAGCAAGGAAAATTTTGGGAATATCATTTATTTCATCCGCTAATTTACATTTAATAACGTTAAAGGGGGTATTATCAGCTAGTATTGAAATAATCAGGACTACAATGGCTGCATGTCAAGTGAGTACTGCCGAGTTAAAGAAGAACGCCTTACGAGCTATCAGCCGCTGCCAAATCGCCTTTCACAAATCACAAATTTTTGGGATAATTTGTCAATATTTCACTTCCGATTTTTCAGAGAATATTGATCATAATTCGATCTGAAGCGTCTTAAAATGTCAAGGAAAAATATTCATAATTTTTGTTCAAAAATAAATATTTTCTGAGAGGAAATTCGGCAAAATTCAAATGCTCATACGGTGTTCTTCCTCAGCACGCAGAATAGATTCCTGTGCTGAAACCTGAAATTTCTGAGGTAGTTTGTTTCCGCCAGTTAACTCATCCAGTGCTCCCATTTTCCGGAATTAGTACAGAATTTCGGAACTTTTAAGATTTTTCTGAATTTTTCCCAGTACTTTTGCAATTCCCAAAATGTTCCGGATCTTTTTCATTTTCCGGAACTTTCTCAGAACTTCTGAAATAATCTAAAAAGAATCCCGGAACTTTGGACGATCATGGAGTGGGAAAAAGTTCCGGATCCCGGAACTTTTGACGAACATAGAATGGGAACACTGACCTCATCATTATCTAAAAGATATACCATACCACCTTGCAAATAATGTAAAATCGGAACGAGGAGTCAAATGAGCGGATGAATCCATGGCCCCGAAACGAGCAGCTCCGTCCGAAAGCCCGGAAGAGGCCGCGGCGGACGAGTGTTATTCCTGAAGAAGCTCTGCTAAGTCAATAATCGCCGGGCGCGGAACGCGAAACCACGCGGTACGAACAAAGCGCTCTTAAAGTTGCAGGCTGCCCACCTAAACATGCTCGAGAGCAGA